AAAATAAATAAACTTTAAAAAAAAAAAGAAAAAAATACTACTAAAAAATGTTTACCATTCAGTGAGTTATAATCACTGATCACAGATAACCATGTAATAACAATAAAAAAGCTTGGATTGCAAGAATTACCAAAATGTGACACAGAGTCATGAAGTGAGCAAATGTTGTTGCAAAAATGGTGCCGATCAACTTGCTTGATGCAGGGTTGCCACAGACTTTATAGTTTGCTTAAAGAAAAAAAAAAGCAGTATCTGTGAAGCTCAATACAGCAAAGCACAATAAAATGCCTGTATATTCTGTATCAGATGCTAACGGGTGCTAAGAATAATAAAGCTGATCAGAGGATCAAGAGTGTGACAATATGAGTTTGGAGGTGCTAGTTTATATAGAATAGTAAGAAATGGTCTCCCCAATAAGGTAACTAACACTTGAGCCTAAATAATGCGAGAGAGAAGTTATGCAGATATCCAGGGAAAGGGTTTTCCAGTTGAAAAACAGTGAGTACAAAGGCTCTGGAGCAGGATATGCTTAGTATATTTTGAGGAAAAGCACGGAGGAAGGTGTAGTTGGAGTGGCATGTACAAGGGGAACAGTAGTGGATGAGACAGGCACCAGGGGCTACATTGTAAGGAGGCTTTGTAGGCTGTTATGAAAACTTTATGTTTTATTCTAAGTGATATGGCAAGGCGTGAAAAATTTTGAGAAATGACATGACCTGACTTAGATTTGAAAAGGATTACTCTTGCTATTGTATGGATGTTTAGTTTTGTGGAAACAGGGAGTCCAGTTTCGGAGGCTTATTATAATAGCACAAGAAAGAGCTGACATAGTGGCTTTGACAGGGGGCTAGTGGTGGATGTGGCGAGAAGCAGTGTCTTCCAGATATATTTCGAAGGTAGGACCAGCAGAGTAGAAGAAGAGTCAAGGATGACTCTTAAGTTTTGGCCTGTGAAACTGCAAACATGGAATTGATTTTATACTGTAAGGGGCAAACAGAGGTAGAGGTGGGAAGTAGATTTTAAAGTGTTTTGTAGATGGCACGAAAACAGACACATAGATCAATGGAATAGAATAGAAACCCCAGAACTAGACCCACAAAAGTATGACCAACTAATCTTTGACAAAGCAGGAAAGAATATCCAATGGAAAAAAGACAGTCTCTTTAACAAATGGTGCTGGGAGAGCTGGACAGCAACATGCAGAAGAATGAAACTAGACCACTTTCTTACACCATTCACAAAAATAAACTCAAAATGGATAAAGGACCTGAATGTGAGACAGGAAACCATCAAAAC